GTACCGTTTAGCCAGGCTTATTTTAGATAAAGGTTCAAGAACACATATTACTGAATTACATCAAGCGCTTTCATGGAGTGATCTTTACACATGTTGGACCTTCTACAAATTGTGTGAGGTTTTCAAATGCCGTAATAACCGAGCACCTGGTTATCTTTGTAATAAATTTAGTCAGCCCTCTCATATGTTCGACACCCGTAATAAAACTAATGGTAAATATTTTATTGAATATACCCCAAAATGTAACAATGGTAAAAATACTTTTCAGTATTTAGGAACTGTGGGCTGGAACAAGCTCACTCAAGAACAAAGGGGAGTCAAATTTCTCATTTTTTTAACGTCATATTTTGCTCATTAATCTCTGTTCCGGTAAACTCTAGACTTATAATAATTGTATATGTAAAAACATTGTCTGTTTATACCAACTGTAATCACTATAATTAATTACTCCTATAGTATGTACATGTACAGTCTTAGTCTTTTTAACGATGCGTTATAATCCCCTTGTTAATTTTATAGTTTCATAGCTCGTAGCTTATTTACAGCTGTAGCAACACAGGGCCCTTAGGGATAGCAGTCGGTTAACGACTGTTAAGGCTACCCTGTTTAAATAAGACAGTAAATAAATAAATAAATAAAATAAAGAAAACTACTCACTCGAACCCATTAAAGTTTTAATTAGGCCCAGTAACTCACACCTTGGGTTCTTTAAATGATCAGCGTAAGACTTCGTTCAGCTCGCGGCGTCTCACTCGGTCTTGAATGCCCAAGGCCACGCCTGAATCACTGGGCTGTGGCTTGAAATCACACATCGCGCGACTAGACTTGTACTTGGACAAAAAGACTTGCTTGTATTTGTACCAAATTGACTTGAGACCTGACTTGACTTGACCTGTGATCAAATGACTTGTGTCTTGACTTGTGGCTGGATGGACCAAATGACCAAGGTGGCAGCGAACATTTTTGCAAGTCCAAGTCAAGTCACACGTCATTATAAACAAGTCCAAGTCAAGTCACAAGTCATTAGGTCCAGTCACAAGTCATTTGGTCACAGCGCAAGCTAAGTCAAATCACAAGTCATTTGGTCTAAACACAAGTCAAGTCACTAGTCTATTTGTCCAACTACAAGTCAAGCTGCGCATTATTTTTATCCAGCTGTAATAGGCAAAAAGAACCAGGCGTCAACTTACGAAGTTACGAGTTATGAGTTTCGGAAAGCTGAACACCTTTTCACCTATTATTTTGACTCCGTAGTTCTCTTTTTCACTTGTGTTGTAATTACTGTTCATGCAGTTTATCACATATCTGTCGTATATTGGACCTCTGTTTAATTATTTTAATAAAATGTACTTTGTGGAAATAAGCGTTGAGATGAAAAAGGTGACGTATCGAGGGCGCTGTTTATCCTAGTCACGCGTCAACGCAACGCAACGTAGCGGCATGATACGCATGCTGCCCTGATCTACAGCTGCAGCTGGGTGAAGTAGAAGCCGCGCAAGCCGAAGTTTGTTTTTTTTATGCATGTTAGGCGTAAACTGAATAGCTTTTAAAACTGTATGTTGTCGGTCGAGTAGCGTCTGACTTGGGTTGGTAATAAGTCATTTTTGCAAGTCCAAGTCAAGTCACAAGTCATCTTTTGCAAGTCCAAGTCAAGTCACGTGTCAAAGTTGGTGTATTCACAAGTCAAGTCGCCGCAAAGTCATAAAAATACCGACTCGAATCCAACTTGAAGTCACATGAATCGAGTCAGCAATTCTGCAAATGACTTGTGACATGACTTAGCTTGCCAAAAAAGTCTTGTGACTTGACTCAGACTTGCAAAAATTGTCTTACTACCACCTCTGTTTAGAATAGTGAATTAAAAAAATCCACTCTAAAAGAGAGAAAAATCACACAAAACGATGAGCTATATAAAGGACAATTCAGTTTTCGAGTTGTCTTTTATGCTCATTGCCAAAGTGGTTTTCACTGTTTTAAGAGTAGCCTTTTCTCTTTTATAGAGTGATGTTCACTCTTTTGGAGTGGTTTCTTTAAAGGACTCACTCTGTTGAGTGTGACTTTCGCATTCTTTTGTGCTTAGGGCGAGTTTGAGGACCGCTGGTGTTATCACCAGAAAATTAATGATTATAATAATTAGTGATGATAAAAATCAGAAAGAGAGTTTCGAGGTATACGGTTGAAGCAAATCCAACACGTGAGTGAGATGCTCAGGGTGGAGCAGAAATCTTTACAAAACTGAGGGAAGAGACAAATACATAGAAGGAGCATATTGAATGTAATATAATGTAATTGAATGTTATATGTTAACATGAGCTTTGAAATCAACATTAAGTATATTCGATTTTTTTATTTAAGACAAAAGACACAGAAAGTTGGCTTCTTATTTGACATACCTGTTTTCCTCCGAAGACAAACGATCCATTGTCTTCAATTCATTGGCTTCAAAACAGAACAAAATGGGTATAATTGCTGTTTTTTTTTCTTCACGTGCACGAACCTTCCCCCTTTTGAGGATTAAATTGTGAAACCCCTCACAAAGGGTGGAGTACATTTTGATTTAACATGGGAACATTCTCTAATCCACTTTTACAAAATAAATGGAATCGAACAAATACAGCTGCAGACCGACCATTCCAGCTAGATTTTCTGCTAACGTCAATAGACTGTATTAGTGTGTCGTCCATCTTGAATTGAAAGTGAAGTAAAAGTTCACACAAATTCATGCCACATTTTGTTCAGAATAATTTAAAAATTTTGATGAATGATACTTGATACCCAAATTAGTCTGGCATTACCCTTATAGTTAACAGATTACATGCATGGCCGGTTCAGAGGAAAATATTAAAAAATTGCTTCTCGTGAATGAGGTCTATTACATATACCCACTTTTCAAACAGTAGCCCCACCCCGAATGGAGCAACATTCTGGACTTTTCCGCTTGACTTAGCATCTTTGGCATCTTTTAAAGTGTGAAAAAGTGATACCATCGATTTTTTTTGCACTAAGCCGGGTAAGCCTCCCTTATTTGAATGCCGTCGCTGGAAAAAGTGACCTGAAATGGTTTTGAACTTGAGTTATATAATATTAGGTAACAATCTTACAAGGGCACCGGGGCAGATTTGAAAGACCATGGAGTGGGACTTACAGTAACTGCTGGGTCGCATTGATTTAATGTAAGATTCTGACTAAGCACACAATGCCTTCCCACACTAGTTCCACCCCTTGCCCCGCCCCTTATACGCGACGGGACCAGCACTCCACCAACAAAACTAATTATGATTTACTAAACCATGTGAGCCATGTGTTGAACATTTGCTAGATTTTCCTCTTCTTTCCAGGAGAGACTTACCTTGGGACGCTAACTCATGTCTTTTACTGTATTGTCGACTATGCTTACTTCTATTTCTTTGTATTATTTTCTTTTAAATAAGTATCCTGCCAACCTCAATTTATTTTTTAATATAAATTTAATTAGGCTATAGCCTCTATTCCACCTTTAAACAAGTTTCAGATCTTAAAGAGAACATTTAACCTCTATTAATTTTACTTTCCCAAAGTGCAACCAAAAGCTGCATGACGTTGGCGTAAAAACTAGCCCCTCGTCAAAATTGGTTCTGCCTTGCAGTTACATGTATTCTGATATGTCCGTATGTTTGGATGGGATATGCTTCCTTTCAGCTGAAAATATGCCGCTTAAAATTAATTTGCATGGTTCAAAGACGATGACAAAGGTCTGTGCTGCACCACCCATGACAATGCACATCGTAATTTAATGAACATATTAAATGCTAAACAGTGAATGACGTCAGTGACCGTGGTCTTAGCGACACAAGCACACCATGGATGCACACCAATCACTGAAGGCCGCATAAAAATAGTTGTTGTTGATCATCTCCGCCCGACCCACCAAATCACACGACCTATTTTAGATTTTTTTAAAATTGCAAATACGAGGATCCAACAGTCGCACGAATTCAGTCCCAGGTACAAAATCATCTCTCGTGTTCCTTTTCAACGGACAGTAAATTCAAAACCTGGACCTTGCTACATCTTCGGAAATCTCTGTTGGTGATTCACTCTGCACACAAATGTAAAAGCTGGAACTGGACACATGTTGAAACACAGACAGGGTCTAGGTTTCAATGGTTAAGCCTCTCGATCGGCGTTCATTTGTCGTCGTTTATTTTTTGGGTCATCAAAAACCAAAATGAAAAATGTGTTGCCTGCTTTGAAGCTCTTGGGTGTGATTGGAAATCGGGGATCACTTTAAATAGGTAAATGTTGAAGTGAGAAATACATGTATATTCACAAAGCACTTGAAATAGATGAAAGTTTCAATTTTGCTGTCAATTGTTTAATTATAGACATGTTTAAATTCTTTGATGCATTAAAAAGTGTCCATGATACTTTGAGCAAATTATGTCAATATTTATGGTTTCGCGTTAGGTTATTTGTGTCATAAAGAAAAAGAAACCTACCGAGGACGATCAACAATATTTTATTTTGGCACGTCGCCTATGTTTTCCGGTCGTGTCCGTCCTGTCTGAGTCAACCTCATTCCCAGGCTAGATAAACTATGGCTGGGCCCGATAGAATTAATTGCTGGCCGCGGCTGATCAGCTACCATAGTAAACTTAATTCGTGTAGGGTACTGGGTAATTTTAATATTCAGTGTGTAATTAAGATTTTAATAGTAAGTCGCTCAATTATCTTCAACCCCCCCCCAATGGTCGCTTTTCTATGTTGTTTAAAATTGTTAGTGTGCATGTATAATATAACCGGTAGAATGTGTATAATTATTGGTACGCCACAACTTATAAAAAAAATGTTTTGTACCCCAAAGTCAAAAGGAATCTCGTAAAAACCGGAACCCTAGTTAATCAAATACCAAGGGTTAGATGATTCCTTATTTGCATATAATTATAATATCTAAATGACTGTTTAAAATGAACGATTCATAGACGATACAATGAAAGCGCACGACATAACAGTGTGAAAACGAGGTTGGGTGTATGTGTGCGTGCGGGTACGTATTATTACAGGCGCTACAAGCTGGACACAGCAGGATTGCAATGCACGGTACATGGTACATGTAGTGCTATGCTATGAGCAATTTGCAATACCAGCCGTACGAGTTACACACATACATGTACATGTACGTCGCGCACGTTATGGGTATGGTAGAGATGGTGCGGTTCGTACGCCTACATGATTAGGATTTTCTACCTCAGCTCGCCGTACATCTATTTACAAGTCTTTGCTCCATGGTCTGTGCGTTTGGAATTAGGCCTTTCTTCATATAATTTTCAATTCATCGGATCGCGAGCGTTTGGTCTTTTTATCCTGGAAACGTACTTGAATGTTCCAGCTTGTTTTTAGACCTACTTTACGTCTTCGGTGGATCGCGGGCTTAACCAAATGCTGTCGACACAGTTCGCATAAATTCACCAGTTCATCTCCAGCGAACATGACGATAGTGCGGCTATGTGCACATAAGGAGTAGTCGTATGCTGTTAGCTGCCATTATCTGGCTTCGGCCCTTTGCAAATTTATTAATTGTCAACATCTGAAAAGTCAGAGGATACCAAGAAATAAAGATGGCGGACCTTGAAGCTGTGCTTGCTGATGTGAGCTATTTAATGGCAATGGAGAAGAGTAAATCGACTCCAGCTGCCAGAGCTAGCAAAAAGATCGTTCTCCCTGACCCCAGGTGAGTAGAAATGGAAAATTACTCCAGATCATTGGGTTTACTAAATGCTGTGAATGAACATGTGTACAAAAATGTAATGCCCCAGTCTGTTGGGTCTTTCTACTTTCTAGTGGACAGAATTCTAGAGCTGTGATTGACCCTTGGCCCATCCTGCATCCATTGGCCAACAACTAACGTTACACATTAGGCTATCATGGAAAAACCCTATCGTTTGCTCATTGTCTGCCCCCAGAACTGTGGTGTCTGACGTCCGCCCTGCTCTCACATGGGAGCAGGGCCGACGTCAGACCCCTCAGTTCTGGAGGTACTCATTGTCAACATGTACTACTTGAAAAACATACTGTGCATGAGCCTTTATAAATTTACCCAAGCCTTCATCTGTACACTCATTACATGTGCACCGAAAATTGCAATGTTCAATTTCATGTTGTTTTTTTGGGGGGGTGTGTTACCATTTTGGTATTTGAATTGTCAGCCGGGTCCTGGAAAGTCAGTGATGGGACGTCTGTTGAATTCACAAGGCAAAGAGTCTTAGGCCGTGTCTGAAAAACGGTCTTCCAGAGCTTCGGATAGCTACGGCTAGGTCTATTGTCTGCATGTCACCATGTCACCACGCATTTCTAATGGAGTGAAGACCTAGAACTAGCTCTAGAGTCTAGACAGCATGTTTGGATGCAGCCTGAGACGGCCTCAGAGGTGGGGAGATAAAATCAGCCATTTCAGTGGGACGAGATCAAAACAGCTAGCCATGGTGGATTGAATGAGGTTACTAATGATAATTGCCTAATAGATTACCATGAACCCAAACAGAAATAAGACTCACCGTATTGTCATCTATAGGATTAAGCATTTCAAATAAAAATGGACTTGGCTAAAAATAAACAAAATTAAAAATGCAACAGCAGTAATGAGTAAAGGTTGAAGTAAGTATCAAGTCAAATCTTATCTGGGAGACTTACAGCATAGGTGTCACGTCAAAACTTACTTTTGTTGCCAAAACATCCATCATCTTGGATGCCTTCATCATACACTCCAGTATAGGGCCTAAAAAGCCTTCCCTCTGCCACCCCGACCTACCATACCAGTGAGTGATTTCCCCTATATCGCATTGTATTTTGCAATGCATGTTGGCAATTCTGCAATCGTACGAGTATACGTAATATACATAATATAACTGGGATTGAAATGTTCTAATCCCTCCAGCACATATGAAACTGTGGCAATGTGATGTACGTAACATACAGGGCCAAGTGACAATTCATAACAGGTACAGTACCAGCACATGTAACATGCTCCTCTATAAGAAATCACATTTTATTACAAAGGAGACGGAATGAATCCTGCTCCTCTTCATGGAACTGTATTCTCATTAATGAGGAATTCTTACAGTATAGCAGTAACATTATACTCGTCTTTAATGTATGAAAATTATTTGACATCCCTTTTCGGTTAAATGCACAGTAAAGTTTTAATGAGCAGTTTATAAAACATTAGACATTGTTGATGCTTTCCTGGACAACTGAGGGCGCTGTTGCTGTGATGTCATCAACATGTGGGAAAGACATGTTTCAGTGCCTAGGTACATGTATTTCTATTCAAACTGTGAACCCAAAATTAATTAAATGAAAACGTTTCTGTGAAATATGTTGCATGCTTGCTTAAATACAGAAACAACTCACCCAGGAAAAAAATTGAGGCCAGCAAAATTTATAAATTCAACATTTTTTTGTGTACAAATGCAATATTGAGATTGTCCTGGTATGACATCACTGTTTTATCTGTGAATATAGAAGTACTCATTTGCATCTATAAAACTAGAAAGGCAGTGAAGTAACTTTCATACAGTGAAAACAAGTGGAAAAATAAGGTTAACAACCTTAGATGTAAATGTGCATTTTAGAGGTTTGTATGTGTATTAAAAAAATGAGATTGCAGAGCTACACTGTACATACATGTACCCTTTAAGGTGGTAGTCAGTGAGTTTGGACATAATAGCTCTTCATAAAGGAATAGTTTTGAGTCCAAAAGTTGACTAACATACATGTACATGTACATTGTACCATTAAAACAGAAGTCTAGTACTAAAAAGTCATTAACAGTATCAAAAACATATCCAGATTAACGCTTAGGAATGTGGGCCTCAGTGATGGGGCCACTGCAGTAACGGTGCTGGTGAATCACTCTATACAGTGTATACATGTACATATGTACGTGGTTGTAATTACTAGTGTGCAAATTTGCTGTGCAAGTGAAGCCTGCTCAGCGTATCCATGTTTGTGCAAAAATGTATAAAAAACTCGAAATTTTATGGGTATTTCATATCTGTGTGTATTCTAAAATGATGTGTCAACAAAGGTGATACACCAAAAACCTGAATGCCATGTCAGTAAATGAGTGTTTAGTTTTGCTTGATGTACATGTACCGGTAAACAATGCAAAACCAAACACTAATTTATTGATGCTGCAGATACTAATTAAATGACAGAAAAACAGGATGTATGTATGTTATTGGCAAATGTTGCCCTTGTGCGTTACATTTAGAGTATATACTTTGGAATGTGTTCTATCTTATTTTATTACATGCATGTTCCACAAATATACTGGTACACATGAATTCATGTGTAGGGAATAACGAGTTAGTGCTCTAGTAATTTAGTATGGTTCATACCGGTACCGGTACTTGTCTTGCTAGCCAGTGGAAAAAAATAATGAAGTGAACCCAATCTGGTGCATGCATTATGAATTGAAGTGTGAGTGTTAGGGTTTATAAAAATTATAAGATTTAGACTGGGGGTTCCGACAAAGAAATAAAGAGGGCATGTTACTGACTTACACTGTAGAATGCAGATGAGTGAAAGATACATACTTGTACATGTACGTCTATGCTACTAACAAATAGCATCATATGGACTGAGTTTATCCATGTACATATATGTATACATTTAAAGGCCCCCCCCAAAAAGGACTCCGGTTTCTGTTCATTGGCTTAGTCCAAAAGTGGTACGGTGAGGTTTTTTTCCTCTTTTTTTCCCCAAGAAGTAATGTACATGCACATATACTTTGGAGTGCATGGCCTTGTTACTATGAGAAGTGTGAGTTAACAACTTTGAATTAATAACAAGACCATAAAATATGACAAGAGTCAATGGTTTTATTTATCTCACTCAAAAAGAGGCTTCCATTCTTGGCAAGATTGAGCTTGTGAAAATACATTAGCACAACCATGGAAAAATCATTATGTGAAAAACAAATGTTCAGCTCCAGTTTCCGGTTTTAAATGAAATTCTCATGAGGTGACTTTCTTTGTACATGTACTTTGTTTTCTGCTTTAGCTTAGAGGAAACAAGTTGCACGTCAAATAGCCTATGAAAAAAAATAAACAAAAATAGTTCAGGTCCTCGGTCAAAATAAAAAGAAAATTCTCATGAGGTAAATGATATACTGTGCCCTTTTTTTGTTTTAGCTTATAAGAAACAAGCTGCATTTAACATATTGGGGAAAAAATTCAGCTCAGACAATAACATCTCCTCTCACTCAAATCTGCCTTTGTTCTTGGCAAGTGGTGATCAGTGATGCATGAGTAGTTACATGTATATGTATGGTTGTCATAATGTGATGCATGTGTATGTACCGCCACTGCCTCACCAACACTGAAATAGACTGGCCCCTCACGGTTTGTTGCTCAAAAGCATTTTCAATTTGTGCACTTATGCTGGACGCAAGACCACTTCATTTGTCTGGTTCACAGACGTACGTGAGCCTGGGTCCGAATCAGTTGGCTACTGCCGGAAATTACACCGAGTATTTGGCAGCATCCATGGCTAGTTCCGAGAGAATCATGCATGATATCAAGCCGCAGCCAACTGATTGGGATAAGGCCTTTGTGTAAAGATACACGAATGACATCATTTGATCAGAGTGCCCGACTGAAATGTATGGAGGCCTAGAGGGATTCCTTCACTGTACATATTACTCCACCCCACCCATCAAAAACACGTTAAAATTACATGTACGTGGTACCGGTAGCAGAATTCCTGCCGATCAAGGAAGTTTGATGGCTTTTGGAAATCGTTTATGCAAAATAAAAAAAATTCTTTATTTTGCCGACGCGCAGGTCTACGGCGACGCGTGCAGTGACCGGAAACTTTTTTTTTGCCTTAACGTATGAATCACTTTCATCACAAGCTTTAAAGGTCAGAGTCTCGTAAGGTACACATGTACACGTACAGTACATGAATGCTTGAAGGTTTGCACATATAGTGTGTACGTTGTACATGTACAATGTACATGTGTGCCATGTACATGTACATGTAACTCCACCTTAACATTTATCAGTCCATTTACTTATGTATGTAAAACAAAATGTGTACAGTGCTGTCCATTTTTGCAGTGTACAGGTGTCATGTAAAGCACATGAGAGACAGTAGGGTGATTTGGAACCCTTCCCTGACTAGTTGATGTCCTCTTGATACTCCAGCTGTCTGCACAGGAGCAAATTGTAGACTTCATCACTTCCATTGTACCACTACCTCTATAAACCTCCCAATGATTTCATTAATGCAACTGGACCTACATGAACATGTAGCTTACAACTTGCCCCGTGTCTTAATATACAGTACCGATGATGGTGCGTTGTACACTGTGCACAGATAATTATACCTACAGAACAAATGACCAATGTTTAAACAACACAGCATGGCTACATTTTTTCCTATTGATTTGGCTTCGAATTTTTCCTGGAAATATTGGTATGTTTCCCAGCCTTTGCACTAGCTCTGACCCCATATGTAAGAGTATTGAAGTGTTGATTTCCTCTATTGGAAAGTGACTTTACAGAAAGCACTTTGTGTGCTGTGCTAGTGATTCAGTGTTTGGATTAAAATCCAAATTTATGAATAACTGAAGAAGAATCCACTGAATGAATTCAAATTTCAAGCCGAATATCTGAAATCACAAAGAAAAACAAATTTGGACCAGTCATTTTTAGCAACAGAATTCTT